AACAGAAAAAAAAAAAGAAAAAAAAAACTCATATTCAATTGCCCTTATCTATTCAATTTCCATTAGTGAAAACTTTCAATATTTAAATTTGTGTTAGCTTCATCTAAAATTCAATTTGTAATTATATTTGCTACAATTCATTCAAAAATTAATAATAAATACATACTGTGAAAGGGAGCTTATCTTAAAATAAGTAGCTTTACAGCATGAACCTGATTCTAAATCCATCACGCAGCCCACAATTAGACTTCAAGAGGGGCTTTGTGGCATGATCCTGATTTCGAGTCCAAAATCATGAAGCCCATATTTTAGCCCACTTTCAGAAAACGTGGGCCTAAAATGATATTCGCGAAGAATTGGGGGGAAAGAGGGGATAATTGGTGGGGAGATAGATAGTGGGGATAACCGCCTTAACCGTCACTCAGACACGCACTCAACACACATAATAAATCTCTCTATCCATCCCATTTTTTTTTTATTTATTATTTATTATTATTTATTATATTATATTTTAATAAATAAATAAATGATTTTCCCCCCTTTCAAAATTAAATTAAATAAAATTCCCATTTAAAACATTAGCACAACATTCTGCAACTAGATTATTACAACCTTTGCAGTGCCAGTGCTGCATGCCACCATTTTTATCACTTTCCAAATTTGAAAAAAAAAAAAAAAAGCAGAAACAAGCTATTTTTCATTCTTCTTGTTCTTGTTTTTTTTTCAGTAGAAGCAGAGAAAAATGGAAGGTAGGAGGAGAATGGAGGAGATGGGGGAGATAAAGAAGGGCCCGTGGAAGCCCGAAGAAGACCAAGTTCTTAAGAACCACGTGAGGAAGTACGGGCCCCGGGATTGGAGCTCCATTCGATCCAAAGGCCTCTTGCGCCGTACTGGAAAATCTTGCCGCCTTCGTTGGGTCAACAAACTCCGGCCCGACTTGAAAACGTAACCCGTGAAAGGAAAACAAAAATCGATCTTTTTCGTAAAAATGTGTTCTTTTTTTGGGGGGTAGACTTTGTTTGGGGATTATTGGTAGTGTCGAAATTGTGTACTTAATCTAGTGTTGGTTTACTTTTCATGTCCTTTTTGTCTTTTTATTTTTCTGAACTTGCTATGTTGGTTGCTGTATTTGTACAATTTTTTAAGTTTTGCTTGGCTCGCTTACTGTGAATATAGACTTATAAAAGTCTTGCTTTTGGTAGAATGTTAAAACTAAATGGTTATGGTGTTGCCATTTGGTTTCGGAGAGAAATGCATTCTCTCTCTCTGATAATTTGTTTCTTGGCAGTGGGGTGAAATTTTCTGCCGAGGAGGAAAGAACGGTTATCGAGCTGCAAGCAGAGTTCGGGAACAAATGGGCAAGAATCGCGACCTATCTGCCCGGGAGAACAGACAACGATGTCAAAAACTTTTGGAGCAGCCGGCAAAAAAGATTGGCAAGAATGCTCCACACATCACCTAATTGTGCTCCACCACAACAGCCATCTTCATCATCCACCAAGCCGCGCAAGAACACGCCCGTTCAACTTCAGCCCCAAATTTCCTGTCTTGATATTCCCTCTCTAGAGGTAAGTGAGATCGTTCGTTCGTTCGTTCAAGATCGATTTCAAGAATTTTCAAATGATAAACAATAATTGCCTGATGCGTTTTGTTAATAATGGTTTATTTTTTTTAGGCACCCAAGTTCAGCTCATCACAGGAGGAACAGTCGATAGCAGCAAAGCCCCAATCTTGCCCGTCTTCCAGCATCGACGATCCTAAGACGGTAAAAATGGCGCCTTTTGCTTACCCGGGCCCACTCATTTACGAGCCCGGCCCGTTTCAACTCGACTATGGCCCACCAAACAAGAAGCTCACAACAAACACAGACCAGCCACAGCCGAATGAGCATGCATTCCCACAAGTCCCACAGCTGCAGCAAGATTTCCCTATGCCACTCGAGAGCCAAGAGGACATAGTCACCCGGCTGGGAGAACCTAATTTTCTGGACGAGTTTGAGAACCCGGGCGGGCCTGCACTTGGCCCAGACATCAGCTGTTTGATTGATGGTTTTCCGCCGATCGACATATTTGATCACATACCGAGCCCTTCAGAGTGGTCGTGAGAGGTGGTCGAATTTCTCTCGTTCATATTTAGAGTTTCACGATCTGACTATTTTCGTTTGCTTTTCTATTGTACGACTATTCAATTAGATTCGTATCCATTATAGAAGTGTACGTTTCTTGTTGCGTGTGAATGAATTCTACTTGCTGTTGATATCATTACTACCTTAACAAAGGATATTCAACTGGTAAATTTGAATCTCAATTGGTACTGCATTTTTCGTCATAGGCTAGAATCTAGAGGTGTTTTTGAGATAAATAGGATCATAAGAGGTTAAAAAGCACAAAAGATTTAAGATACAACGGCACACAGGAGCCAGTGGCAAGGATACTTCATCCTGAAAGTAGAAAAAACATCAAATTTTGCAAGTACAATGGATTTTTTTGATTTATTTTTTTCATAATGCTTTCGTAGAATGTTGTGAGTACGAAAATGCAACATTGGGCGCCTTACGAGATCTGAAGCTTCGTACAAATCTTCGAAAGGATTATCTTTATTAAGCTATTATTATTATCGCGCGGTTCATGCTTCAAGAAGACAGATAAATGAGCACGAGTGTTGGTTCTTGGTT